AAAGGATTTAAATTTTTACCTGTAGAAGAACAGAAGGAGTTTAAGCAGGAAAGTTGTGCAATCACTTTGGAATTTTAGAAAGTGCGGTGACGCAGGATTGGGTGTCTGTAGTCCCGGCACTCTGAGGCAGTGAGGCGGGAGGGCTGAGAGTTTGAACCCAGCCTGGGCAACACAGTGACTTTGGGAGAATCTACCCCGCAAGGAAAAATAAAAAAGGCCTGGAGATATAGCTCAATGCAGAGTCTGAACTTATTTGTCAGTACTGAAAAATCTTTAGGATATTATCCCAACAGTACAGATAACTCCAGGACAACCTCAGACAGGATCCTTATCTGTTTCACATGCAAGTGAGTAGCCCTCCTGTAGAGCGTGCACACAGTGTGGCCCAATTCTGTGGTCTTTATTGTTTGTAAGATTGGGAAGGATACATTTAGAGATATTCGGGATCTATTTCAAAAGAGGTAGAATTGACAGTCTCCATAATTTGTTGGTCCCGAAGAAGGTAGAGTAGTGTAAGATACCAAGATTGGCCACAGAGTCATAAGTGGTAGGAAATTTCTTAATCCAGATAAAGACTTCAGGAGATGATGAGATTTTTTTTTCTGAGACAGTTCAGGTTGGCCTCAGACTTGCTGCGATCCTCTTGCCTGAGACTCAGTGTGTTGGGATTACAGGTGTATACCACCATGGCAGGTAAAGATCAGGGTTTTGAGTAAAACAAATGCAGAAGAAGTTTTAGGTAAAACTTTGGTTACCTCGAGTTTGCTTTAAGAGTGATTTTTATGCGAATGTTGGTGGAGTACAGTTCAGAGGTCTGGGCTAGAGAGTCTCATAGGAGAACCTGAGAGTGCATGTGAGGGTTGAAAACATTGGGGTGGATAAATGTAGATAAGATTGTACAATAAGAATGAAATAATGTTGAATACCTTTTCCAAAAAGTGTTGGATATAAAGCGAAGTGATTGTGATAATTCATTATAAAAGAATTCTCTCCTCTTCTCAACTAACAAGGTTTTATGTTAACATATGAACCTTCTTGGGCAAGAAACAGGACAATACTGTCCAGCTTGTGCAACAGGCCCTATTGGAGGGCCAATTTTTATACATAGAAGTCACCTGAATAAGGCACTCTTTCTTTGTCTTGGTGATTCATTTAGTTACTATTTTTGAAATGCTTTAAGCTTATGCAATGTTATTTTATGGAGAATTAAATTTGGAATTTTAGGAAACAAAGATAAATAATGATACTATTAACCATTAATATGTGTATGCTTACTGATCTCTTACTATAGAAGTTCAGACTTAAAAGGATATTTCTTCTTAGAATTGGATCGGTTATCCAAATGTGTGGGAAGAATTAGTTATGCTCATAAGCCTTCCAGTTTTCTTGTCCAGTTTTTTTGTTAATGTCAACCCTGTGCTAGAATTCACCTTCATCTTCTTATTATAGTATAAGATCTGCTGTTCTTAATACAAAAATTTAAGACGAAACTTATTTCTTTTGCTATTGCTGCAGAATTGTGTATTTGTGATCTGTTAATTGTTTTGAATGAGTTTCATGTATCATTGGATTGGTTATTTGAGTGTATACTGCAACCACTTTGAAGACGTTTCAGCCCTCCTTTCCAGCTAGCTGTTCCCTGACATTTCCACAGGGTCACTGTGACATTTTCTTTGTCTATTCTATGCTGACCTTCTCTTTCATCTTACCTACCAGCCACTCAGATCAGCCTGTTCTCTAGTAAACAGCAGTTGTGTATGTACAGTATTTCTCATGCTTTGCTTATTTCATGGCATCTCTTGACTTTCTATATCTTTGTCACTATCTATAGCTATATCCATATTTACATCTATATTTCTATCTGTATCTATCTACCTATAACTCAGTCTATACTTCTGCCTTAAGGGAAAGTTTTATAGAGAAAATTGTTTACAGTTAACACAAAATAAATTTTGCTACTTATATTGTAGAATTACAGTTATGGTATATATCCAGAAAGTAAAAGTTACTACAGTGAAGTAGATTACCAGATTAATCACTCTCATTTAATTACAAGCACAGCTAAAGTCTACTTATTTAAGAAAAAAATAACTACAATAACAGTTTTACTAATTTTAGTTCTCATCAAAAAATAGTTACAGAAGTTTTATTGCTCCTATGACAAACCTACTATACTTAATTTAAATACTACACAAATATGTATCCACTCCTAATGAACATTAATGCTTATGAACTAAAGGTCATCAATGTATCACTAAGATAAAACATTGGAATTTTGTTTTTCCATTTAAGTACTCTATAGTGGGTCTTATATATTAAGACAGGTGGCTTTTTAATTATATGATAGAGTTGTGGTTTAGGATTAATTTGCAAATAACATTTCATATGAACTTCTCATCTTCATGCATACTGATTCTGATCAAAATTCCTTGATATTTATCCTATGATATAGTTAAACCTCTATAACTTCTGGCAAAAACTTGACTAAAGAATAATCATGAGAAGAAAAATAACTTGGAAAGAACAGTAAACTCTGTGCTGTTTAAAACTCTTTAAACTTTATCCCTGTATTAGATTTGAAGAGCTAACTTGAAAACTAGAAAAGCTCATCTGATCTTCTGGTCTTCAGATAGCTGCAAATTCATGTTAAAACCTTTAGCTTTTCCTTTTTGATGAATGAGTCTGCTTTGAAAGGCAAGATGTACTATGTTGCCCAATACTTCATATGAAGACCCTTGTGACAAATACCTCTCAGAGCTGAGGATCAGGGAAGAAATTTTTTGATAAATTGAAGTGTTCTTCTACCGGGCTTTGAGTGCCATGTAGCCTGTTTTGTTTGTGAGTTTACTTGTCTGTTCCAAGCCAAGTATGACGCTGTGGTTTCAATTTTCTGTCACTTCACTCAGGCAAGGTGATTTTTATATAAAAAGAAAAGTGGCACTTGTAATTTTCCGTTCTTTTCTAGCGATTCTTAGTCTTAAAACTTTGTTTTGTGATTTTTTTTGGTAAACTGCTTTAACTGAAGCATATTTTTATAGTTCTTTTTGTGGTTAGAATTTGTAAAAGTATGACCCCCCCAAATCTCTGCCCTTTTCCTATTACCAACCCTAACCTTGAACTACATTAGGTAAATTGACTAACTGAATATTTTATACAAGCCTCTTCCTTGTCCATGTGCTTCAAAATCTACTATGATTAAGATTTTATATCTTCTGTTAGAAATATCAACATATCTAATATTGGTAATATTTTTATATATCTATGCTGTAACTTGGCCCACCTAAAATAAATTATTCCATGTGATAATAAGGCACAATTAGGCAATTTAGTGTTTTTTAGCATTTGACTGAATGTTAAGAAAATATCTAAATCATGTAATTGGTAGGTTCAACTTTATTAAAAGTTTCAATGTAGATGGACAGCAGTCAGTTTTCTGCTTAAATTTCTCTTAAATTTCACATTTGGAAAGCAATATCTCTTACTGAATGGTTAACTTTTAGGTCACAAGGTATTTATATGATGTCAGATTTTATGATTCGGGAAGTTAAATTTGTCATGAATAAATCTGTAGATGGAAAATTTCCATTCTTGAGTCTTTATTATTTTTAACTTGTTTTTATTAGTATGTTTGCAGTCTGTAATGCTTACATTCATTTTAGGGAGTAAGTTCTTTTTATTCCTCTTTTCTAATGCTTTCTCTTCTCTCTCTCGATCCCCTTTCCCATTTCCATTTCATTTCTTTTAGATCATGTTTGCAATGAATAAATGATTACGTTGATTGTAGATAGTTGGTGAATTTACAGTACACATCTCATTTCTGTGTCTCTCTTCCTTCCTTAATCCACCTCCACCTTTTTGTTCCTCCCCATTGCAAAAGTTTTATCTTCAGGTTTCTTTCTAGTGTGTCTCTTACATTGCTCTTATATTTTGGATTATGCATATGTGAATAACCACGTGATGTTTACGCTGATGCATCTGATTTATTTCACTTAACATAAGTTTTCAAGTTGCAGTCATTTTCCTACAAATGACTCAAATTTATCCTTCTTTATAGCCAAGTAGTACTCCATTTCTTACAGGTAGAAGATTTTATTTATCCATTTTTCTGTTGAAGGAAATATAGGCTGCTTCCAAGATTTGCCAGTTCTCTAAAAGTAGAAAGTGATCATAATATTTTTAAAAAGTTTTATAAACATATTAAGCCATTACTTTTCTTAATCATTTTCCTTAAGAAAAGAAATAATATGCATGAGTATTTGTTACTGCTTTCTATTGTACAACATATCTAACAGCATTTGTACCTCTGGAATAACCAGAATTCATGTGAGGTGAGTGTCCACCACTGTAAAGATGTTTATCGTAATCAATACCCTGTCTGCCACTGGAAAATAATCACAATTAATTTGATCCTTGAGTATGATTGTACTTATTCTATTGTTAAGGAATCTTACTTTTGAATTTCAGAAGGAATTGCAAAGTTATTTGAGTGAATAGATGGAATTCATGGGGGTTGGAGAGAAAGAGAAGAAGGAGAAAGAGGGAAGGAGGGAGGGAGAGAGGGAGAGGGAGGGAGGGAGAGAGAGAGAGAGAGAGAGAGAGAGAGAGAGAGAGAATCAGATATCAAAAATGCTCTCCTTTGACTCTTGTTTGAATTGCCATGTGTGGTGTATGTAGTTCTGGAAACAGTTCACATTCTAAAGCTATGGGAAAAGAATTCTCAAAGATTTGCTTTCAGAGAAATGATGTTGTATGATACATAAAGCTCCACAGTTTACAATTAAAACTGCCAGACCAGATTTGACATCAATGCAAAAAATCCTTTCCTCATTTTAGTCACCCTATTCAGTTCTGTTTGTGTACCAAACAAAGACCGTTAATACCTCATTTACACAGTCATTGAGTTCTTTTTCTATGATGAATGTTTGCAATTAAACTCTATTTACATACTTGGTTAATAAGATTACAAAAAATTACTCACATTTTTAATTGATTTTTTGCAGCCTTGAAAATGCCTAAGCAAATTAATTATGGTCAGTTGGACGCATTATACCACATTAGAAATATCCACCACAGGTGAGTTATTCTTGCATTTCTTTTTCTGTCATTGAAATGAATATGAATATGCCGGTTTCACGGATAAAGTACGGCAATAAACCATTGGTGACTCTCAAAGGTATCTGATTTATCACACGGATAAAAGCACCTGAAAACCTGGAGATTATTTCTTCAGATGGAAGAAGCAGAATGTAGATGTCATATTTTAAGGAAACAATTTAGTGTGGAACAAACAACTCATCCCGAGCTGGGCTTTTTTTTTTTTTTTTTTTTTTTTTAACTGTAAAAGCAATTGTAGGGAGAAAAAGCCTTAAATGGCTGAAAACACAAATATTGAGCGAACTAAGTGAGCAGTGCACAGGAGATTCCGGCTGAAATATACTGGGTGCAGGGATTTGGGAAATATCACTGTTCAGAGCTTAGGATTCTTAAGATGTGAGGTACATGGAGGTATATATTTTAAAAATCTATTTTGGTGTCAACTGCTTTCCTTGAGTTGAGGTTTCAGAATTACAAAACTGGTTCTTTTCTTCCATATTCATCTGTGTTAATCACCTTTATTCAGGACTTTGGTCTCCTCCTCATGGGTCTCTTGGGAAAATATATCAGTTTCCAGATTTTCTCTCCCCCTTTCATTTTATTTTATTTTATTTTTATTATTGTTTAAAGAGAGAAAGAAAAGAAAATTTAAAAAATAAAATAGAAAAAAGAGAAAAAAGGTAGAATAATACAGAATTAAAAAATTTAACATCATAAAATTGCTAGTTCATACATTACATATTATCATGTTAAAAAGAGTTGTTAAAGTTACAAAATCAAAGCATAAAAAGTGGCTACACATAGATAGTGAAAACTCTTCTGTTCAATGATCTAACAAAAATTTAGAAGTATGATCATCTATCTTACACACTATACATACCGTTGTATCCTTTAGAGCACTTGCCTTTTCTTTCACTTTTACAATATCTATTATACTTCTTGGCTCTTACTGTCAGTTTTTGTTATTTTTTACATTACAGAGACAATGTGATATTAATGTGGGTCTTATTTCCTTAATTGCCTCTATTTACCTATAAAGGCCTCCAGATCATCCTTTTTATAGCTGACTAGTATTCCATTGTATAAAAACATCACATCTTTTTCATCCACTTTGTGGTTGATGGAAATTTTGGTTGTTTCCAAGATTTAACTATCACAAATTATGCTGCTATGAATATCGGTGCACAAATATCTCTGTGATATGACCTTTTCAATTTTTCTGGGAAAATATCTAGGAAGGAAGTACCTGGATTGAATGGAACTTCCAATCCTAGTTTTCCAGGAAGCTCCATACTGATTTCCACAGTGGCTGCACCAGTCCACATTCCAACCAAAGTGGAGAAGTGTTACTTTTCACCCATATCCTCATCAACATTTGTTATCAGTTGATTTCTTGATGGTGGCCATTCTTTCCAGGGTGAGATGTAATCTTAGTGCTGTTTTAATTTACACTTCTCGAATGACCAGTGATGGTGTATGTTTCTTTATGTACTTATTTGCCATTTGTATATCTGCATCTGAGAACTGTATGTTCATCTCTGATACCCATTTTTGGAGAGGGTATTTGAATATGGGGGCTTGATGTTTTTCAGTTCTTTATATGTTCTGGATATAAGTCCTTTGTTTGAGGGATTGCTGGCTAACATTCTTTCCCATTCTGGGGGTTTTCATTTTACTTTATTGGTGATTTCTTTAGAAGTGCAAAAACTTTTTAATAATGTGAGATCTCAGTTGTTAAATCTTTGAAATATTTCCCGTGCGTTTTGCTTTTTATTCGTAAATTCTCTGTCAACCCCTATGACTCCAAGATTTCTACCTAACTTGTCCTCCTGTAGCTTTAGTGTTTCTGTTGTAATATTTAGATTTTTTATCCATTTTGACTTTAGTTTTGTGTATGGTGATAGGTATGAGTCTTTTCAGTCTTTGGCAAGTGGAAAGTCAATTGTTCCAACACCATTTATTAAAGAGGCTGTCTTTTTTCCAGTGAACATGTTTAGCCCCTTTTTCAAATATCAGGTGGCTGAGTGTCTTCGTAGTAGTGTTTGCATCCTCTAATCTGTTCCATTGATCCTCAGGTCTATTTCTTTGCCTGAACCATGCTGATTTTATCACCATAGCTTTGTAGTATAGTTTCAAGTCAGGAATTGAGATGCCTCCTGTCTTGCCTTTGTTGCCCAGAATCCCCTTTGCTATTCTAGGTTTCTTATATTTCCAGATGAATTTTAGAAATATTTTCTCTAGATCTGTAAGATATGTTAATGATATTTTGATTGGAATTGCATTGATACTGTATAACAGTTTGGGGAGTATGGCCATTTTTGCAATGTTAACTTTTCCTAAGATCAAGGAATATCCTTCCATTTTCTAATATCCTCTTCAATCTCCTTTCTTAGAGTAGTATACTTTTCAGCATATAGGTCTTTTACATTTTTGGGTAGGTGGATTCCTAGATATTGCATTTTTAAGTGCTATTGTGTAAGACAATATTTCCATAATTTCTCTCTCAGTGAGCTTTTTGTTTGTGTACAGGAATGCTGTTGATATAAGTGTTGATTTTGTATCCAGCTAACTTACTGAATTTATTTATTATACCTAAAAGTCTTTCAATGGCATTTTTGGGGTCTTTATGTAGTGTAGCGTGTAGTCTACAAATGATGATAATTTAACTTCTTCTTTTCCTATTTTTACTCCTTTTATTTCTACCTCTTGTCTGATTGCTCTGGCTAAGATTTCCAGAACTATATTGAGTAGGAGTGGTGATAGTGGATATCCTTGTCTTGTTCCTGATTTTAGAGTGAAGGCCTTCAGTTTTGTCCATTTAGTATAATGTTGGCTGTTGGTTTGTCATAAATGGTCTTTATGAGATTGAGGTACATACAGTCTATTCTGAGTTTCTGTAGGGTTTCTATCATTAACAGGTGTTGGACTTTATAAAACAATTTTTCTACATCTATTGAGAAGATCATGTGATTTGCATTTATGGCTCTGTTGATGTGGTGTATTATATATATTGTTTTGCATATGTTGATCCATCCCTGCATTCCTGGAATAAGCCCCACTTGGTCATGATATATAATCTTCTTGATGATTTGCTGCATTCTATTAGCCAATATTTTACTGAGAATCTTTAAATCAATATTCATTGAGAGATTGGTCTATAGTTCTCCTTTTTTTCCTTGGTTTTGATATCATAGCGATACTTGTCTTAAAAAATGAGTTAGGGAGGACTGCTTCTCTTTCAATTTTGTTGAAGACTTTAAGGAGTATTGACATTAAATCTTCTGTAAATTTCTTGTGGAATTCAGTTGTGAATCCATCAAGACCTGGGCTTTTCTTTGTTGGTAAGCTTTTAATCATGTTTTTGATTTCAGTAGCTGATATCGGGTTATTCAAAATTGTTATATCTTCTTGATTGAGCTTTGGTAGTTCATATGTTTCTAGAAATCTGTCCATTTCCTCTGTGTTTTCCATCCTATGTGAGTAGACATTTTCCAAGTAGGTGTCCATGATCTTTTGAATTTCCATGGAATCTATAGTAATTTCCTTGTTTTCAGTCATTATTGTATGAATTTCAGTTTTTCTTCTTTTTCTTGATAAGATTGGCTAGAGGTTTATCAATATTTATTCTCTCCAAAAAGCAGATCATTGATTTGCTAATTCTTTGTTTTTTTTTTTTTTTTTTTAAGTTTCAAGTACATTAATTTCTGCTCTAATCTTTACAATTTCCTGTCTCCTATGAGCTTTGGGTTTGACTTGCTCTTCCTTTTCTAGAAGCTTGAGATGTAGCATTGGGTTATTTATTTGTGTTTGTTCTGTTTTTTGATGTAACTATTTATTGTTATATATTTTCCTCTTAGGACTGCTTTCGTTGCATCCCATAGGTTACTGTATGTTGTATCTGCATTTTCATTGGATTGTAGGTATTGTTTTATTTTTTCTTTAATTTAATCTGTAACCCACTGGTTATTCAGAAGGTTGGAACACTCTGTAAACATTCACTAAGTCCATTTGCTCACAGTTACGATTTTGTTCTGTTATTTCTTTGCTGACTTTTTGTCTAGATGATTTATCTCTGTGACAGATGGGTGTTAAGGTTTCCTATTACAATTGTGTTCTTGTGTGTTTGGTTTTTCATGTCCATTAGTATTTGTCTTATATAACTGGATATTTGGTGCATATATATTTATAATTGTTAGTTCTTCCTTTTGTAGTTTTCCCCTTACAAGTATGTAGTGGCTTTCTTTATCTTTTAAAATCATTTTAGGTTTGAAGTTCACTTTGTCTGCAAGCAGAATAGCTTTTTTCTGCGTTCCTGTAGCATGGAATACTGTTGTCCATCCTTTGAATTTTAATCTATGAGTTTCTTTTTTGAGTCAGCTGTGTTTCTTGTATTCAGTATATTGTGGGATCCTGTTTGTTTCTTGATCCATTCTGTCAACGTGTTTCTTTTGATAGGTGAATTAAGCCCATTTACATTTATGGATATTACTGATATGTACTGGCTTGACTTTGCTATGTTGTGTTCCTGTTGCTGGTTTCCTGCTTTTCTCCCTGTTTAATTTTTTGTCCAGTCTGGTGATTTCTTTCTGTTGTTGTTCTGCATATTGTGGTCACTTTTATCTCTATCTAGAATATCTTTCAGTACTCTTTCTAGGGTTGATTTTTGGACATGAATTTCTTCAGTTGTTCTTTGTCATAGAAGTACTTTGTTTCTCCATTAAATTTGAAAGACATTTTTTCTGGGTACATCAGTCTGGGTTGAAAGTTGTTTTCTTTTAGGGATTAAAATACTTCATTCCAAGCTTGCCTTAACTGGAAGGTTTGTGCTGAGAAAGATTATGCTGAAAAGTCTGCCATGATTCTAATAGGATTTCCTTGATAGGTGAGTTGTGTCTTTTTCTCTAACAGCTTTTAGAATTCTGTTTTTATTCTATATGTCTGGAATCTTAGTTGTTATATGTGTGGGTATAGATTTAAGT